TCAGAACCCTTTTGATCTCTGAGGACCACTTCTTTGATTCTGGTGATCATACTTAAATATCCTTCTCTAATTCCAGTAAAAAGTCACCGCGGAAACCTTGCTGGACAAATTCAGCGATAGCAGGTCAACTCATCAAAAAAGGAAAATCCAACTTTCAAAATAACTCCCACTCTTCCTACTATTTTCTAAGGCAACATCTTGTCAGCAGTCATAATCTCATCATTGCAATCACAGATTCATTATTTATCTATGCATAATTAGTTGTCGATAATTAGGGTATAGATAACGTCTGTTTCCAGATTTAACATGATGCTTCTCATAACTGAGTCCTAAGAAGATGATGTTTGAATTGGCTTCACTGCTGGTACACGCACACTGAGATCTCCCCCAAATTTACTTACTCCCATTGCCGCTTACTGAGGCTTCGGCAAAGGTACCTCTCACCTCCAAGTCACCATAGCTCACGCAGAAGTTTCAGGGGAAATTATTCCTCCTGTTGTTCCCACCCGTTTCCCCCACAAAGATGGCATTGTCCTCTGCTGACTGCAATCCTTTGGAACCCACTCAAAGCCCAGCACATCCAACAGCCTTGCTCAACTTGAGCATCTGCAGAACTCATGCTGGAGCCTTGGAAAGCTACAGGTCTCCTTCTCCTACCAAACAAGGTTGAGTGGCGATACTTTTTAAAATTTTTATATATACATATATAAATCATTTTTTTTAAAAAGCAAACCACACAGCTTCTTAAATTCGGGCTATTAGAGCAGAATAACATTTAGTTTAATAAAAGCACTGTGCCTTCCTGTTGTGACACAGTGCCTGCTGCTGGCCTGTCTTCCAGCTCTCCCCGAAGCACCAGCACCATTACTGGGAGACAGCTGGTCGATTCCGAGCACACCAGTACAGCTGAACCCGACAACTGAGTCTTATAACAGGGCGTGATGTTTTACCAGCACTAGAACCTCTTTCACGAACGCCTTTAAGAACTTAAAGGGGTCTTTGCAGGTCAAACGCTCAGCCTGCCAATTCAGACAGGATAGGCACAAATTGCCCTAAATTTTAATATTCCTCAGCGGAGTCCTTGTTACCTCAACTCCTCGTTGTCACGGGTAGCAGGTGAGCGGTGGTGCAGCCGATGCCGTAACTCATCGTGGTGGGTTGCCCCCCACCAGCAGCCAGACCCCCCCACCCAGCCGCTCTCTCACCCCCCCTCCTCAGCAGGACGGGGGGGGGCAGTAAGATGGAAAGCCCCGTGGGTCGGAAGGAAGACAGGACAACTGTTCTCACGGGTGAAACAGACTTGACTCGGGGGAATTTCATTTATTCCCCATTAAAATTAGATGGGGAGAGACAAAGACAAAAGTGAAAACACTTCTCCCCCTCCCTCCCCTCCTTCCCACGCTCAGCTTCACTCCCCCATTCCCGACTCCTCTGCCTCCCCCCACCCCCAGGGGCACGGCGGGATGGGGAATGGGGCTCAGTCCATAACAGCTCCTCTCTGCGCTCCTTCCTCCCCACACATCTGCCCTGGGCCAGCGTGGGTCCTTCCCAAGGGCTGCACTCCTTCAGGATAAACCTGCTCCTGCCCAGGCTCCTCCAGGAATCTCTGCTCCGGAGCCTGGAGCACCTCCTCCTCCTCCTCCTCCTCCTCTCACCTCCTTCCCTGCAGGGCCCTTCCTCTCACTTTTTTCCCCTCACTCCTCCTGTCTCATGTTTTTACTCTTTCTTAAATACCTTTCCCCTGAGGCTCCCCCACCGCAGCTGCGCTCATTCTGAAGCTGAGGAAGGGAAAAGCTTGGATGAATCCACCATCAAGGGAGGACCACGAAGCACCAAGGCCATGCGGGCGTGAAAGGCAAATGCAGCCTTCGGCAGAAAGCAGAGTTATTTCCAGGGAGGGAAGGAAACACTGGGGTAACACAAGGTACTGAGAAAACTTTACATGAAATCCTATGTACAGCCCTAAGCCACCAACGTTTAAGAAAAAGGAATTTAAGAGGGGAAAAAGTGGCAAATAAAAAGTATTAGGATGGCTAGGAGAAGAAAACAGCAGAATGATTTCTACTCATGAATTCGCAAAAATGCCTCCAAGGGTAAAAAATAATTATGTAAGGTAAAAAGGCAATGCGAATACAAGAATAAATTATTGTGAATCAGAATACACTGTAGGCTTTTTCAACCTTGGGCTCTTTTAGCTTGGGACTAAAACAGGTCCTCAAACTTGTCCTCAACCAGCCTCGCAGTGATAATTAAACCAACATGCTGGTGAGAAAAAGATAAGAGCTAAAGCATCAGACCATCTACATAGTCAGTGTCCACCTGCAGCCTGGTCAGCACTCCACGGAGTAACAACCAGTCTCGGCTACCTTATCCCAAACCCTCCTAATTTGTTTCATATTTATTTCTCACAACTCCTAAGTAAGGCTACTGCTGCTTTCCAGGGTACACTTTCCTCTTGTAAACATGACCCACAAGACGATCAAGCCCATGTTAGATGCTCCATGTCTACTCTACACGATCACTTCTCTGTACTTCTGTAGTTTGCCGGCATAGCTTGGTTTTTCAAGGTTATCATAGTTATCACCTTGATTTTCTCTTAAAAGATCCTGCCAGCAGAACTGCACGGTCCACAAATGTAGGAACGTCAACAGACTACCTTGTACAAAATTAGTCCTGTCTCAGGTATATTTTTTTCCCCCCCGGTCGGTGCAAACCCCCCACACTTAAACTTCTGTGAGCACAGCTTTGGTGACAAAATGCAGTGGCAAAGCGCTTTTGGCACCAGAAGTAGCAAAGCAGGAGAAGGAAGCTGCAGAGCTATGTAGCGGTATAAAAGTCAGGCTGAGTGAATACCTGGAGCTGCCACAACCGATTTTCAGAACTAAAACAATGCACGAGTCTGTGCAGTAAATGCCAGAGAACATACTGGTGACAGCATCAGCTTGTGCAGCACTCGACTGTGAGCTCAGCATTGCAAGCAGCAGAGACAGCTAAAAAGAGAACCGTATGAGGAAATGATCATTTGAGACCAGAAGTAATACATCCTTTACCTGATAAAGCCCATATGAAATTCCTACTCTCCCTGCTCAGGTCACATCCGTAAGGACTCAGAAGTGACCCCAGCCATCAGAACACACACACACAGAGAACAGCAAGGACAGGCATAGCCAGTGTCCTTGCTGCCACCGTCTTTGTAGACACGTAAGCAGGACCCACTCCTTTCATAGAATCGTCTAGGTTGGAAGGGACCTTCAAGATCATCTAGTCCAACCATCAACCTAACTCTGACAAAAAAAATAAATAAGAAATAAGCAATAAAAAAAATAATCACTCAACCATATTCCTGAGGACCATGTCTACCTGTCTTGTGAACACCTCCAGGGATGGTGCCTCAATCACTTCCCTGGGCAGCCTGTTCCAATGCTGGATAACCCTTTCAGTGAAGAAATGTTTCCTAATATCCAATCTAAACCTCCCCTGGCGCAACTTGAGGCCATTTCCCCTTGTCCTATCACCTGTGACTTGGGAGACAAGACCAACCCCCACTTCTCTACACCCCCCCTTCAGGTAGTTATGGAGCGCGATAAGGTCTCCCCTCAGCCTCCTCTTCTTCAGACTGAATAACCCCAGCTCCCTCAGCCTCTCCTCATAAGACTTACTCTCCAGATCCCTCACCAGCTTCATTGCCCTTCTCTGGACCTGCTCCAGCACCATAATGTCTTTTCCTTTCAAGCTAGACCTGCCTGCCACCCTGAACACCGTCACATCCTTGCACGTCTGCTGCCTCGTTATCTTTCTCCTTCCACCTCGCTCAGCGCCGCTTTACTTACAGAAAAGAAAGGCACGACGTTTGTTTCTGCTCCGTGACACTACCACTAGCAGAACACACTAATTAGTCAATCGGATCCAGAGCATGCAATGTCTCTGCTAACACTGGAAACCCATCTGGGGGCTGACAACGAGAGCAACAAGCATAATTTGCTTAATTAATGACTGCCACTAATTTTTTTGTTGTTCCAAATTATCAACTTAAATACCAATGCCATGACACAAGATCAAAAGATCATAATTGCTGAACAGCACTGTCAGTAAGTGTGCTTTGATACTTTTCTGGGAACACGGTAACAACTACTAAGTAAAATATATTTACCTATTAATGAAAAACATCTGAATAGCAAAACACGAATAACATTGAAATTCCTTTTACAGATCAGTTTCACAAAAAAAAAAAAAAAGGACTTTATTCATACAAATACTATTATGCATTGTTCTTTTCATCCCCATCTGTATCCACACACATTCCATGGTTAGTAGAGCTTTACACACAAACGTCTTACTTCTGCTTCAATTAATCTTGGGGACTCCACCGCAGCGGCAGCCAGCAAAATTATGCCAACCAGTTGCTTGCACAGTGGATTCTTAGAAGAATAATTAAAATGCCAGAAACAATGCTATCTTCCTTTAGCTCGCTAATGCTAAAACGCATCAGGAATTAATTCCTGCAAAGCGCCACGCAAGACACACACATTTAAGGCTTAGAATTGCGTTTTGTTATTTAGCAACGAGACACGTTTGGTTTGGTTTTTAAATTAAGGTAGCTCTTGCTAAACCACAAACGAAGGTACCAAATGAAGTGTCTTCACAGTTAGAGCCTAATGCAAAAACAGACAACACATTTCAAATAGGTGAGCCAGAAGGGTCATTTCCATGTGATACTTTTTAACTGGTTTAATAAATACTTACACGTAGCACAGCTTCTAGGGTTTTAGTTATGTAACTAAACATATTTATGTTACTAATGCGTTAAATGTTGGTGAATGACATTGGTTTACAAGTTTTATAGCTATTTCCATAGATACAACACTACCTTTGTCATGTTTAACAGAAGATTCCAAAATAAACAAGTCATCTTTTTAGTGCAGGCACTGCAAAAACAAATAGCAAGTAAAAAATAATAGGTATTACTTTTATCAGTAAATGAAACTCACAGAAGACAATTATTCAATAAAATAACTTTTATTTATGTACACAGTGTAAAGTACCATTCAGCAAACGTTATATTGTACAAGAGCAGACTGGAATTTGCTTAACACTTCTAAATTCACTTTAAGCGGGAGTCTCCCTGAGGTTAAGAAAGGTGGCTTATAACTACACGTGACATCAACATTTAATCAGAGTTACCAGGAAAGAGCAAAAAAACCTGAAAGATTTGGACACGGGCATTTAGCGGAAGAAGGGCCCAACAGTACATGCTGGAAACTATAAAAGACATCATTGTGGTAATGTGACTGCTGCAAGATCATGACCAGTTCTGCAAGTAAGGAAAAATCTTGTAGAAAAACTGCTGGGTGGGAGGGGAAACAATGACAGACTTTGGAAAAACATAAGACAGGAGACAAATGGAAGCAAACACAAACTGATTTCGGAACGCTGTATGAAGACAGTAAGAACCAGATGCCTGGCCAGGGTGTCTTAGATCAGATGCTTTTCTTTTTAAAAAAACAAAAAACAAACCCACAACAAAAACAAAACGAACAAAAAAAACCCAAACAAAAAAAGACCACCAAACACCCCCCATCAAACTTCATTGTTTGTATTGGGTTCTTTGGTTTTGTTTTGCTTTTTTTTAAAGAAAAAAAAAAAAAGCTTTAGCCAGAAAGGTGACACCAACAGCACTCCTTGAATAAGCCTGTCCAACAAGGCAGCAGGATGAAGTCTCCAATAGTCACCTAGGCAAACAAAAAAAATCACCCAAAAACATATTATGCAAGAGTTTTCCAAATCACAGCAGCAGCACACCCTGTGACTGGATCCAGCCACTCCTGAAGCTGACTGTGGATTTTTCTACATCAGATTGCAGATGCGGCCTTACAAAACAGGGCTGGGATTAGTTTCACATTAATAAAATTTATAAACAAACTATGGCTAGTCTACCTTTGGGTTGAAAAGCAGCACTTGGTTATAAGAGTAATTAGACACCAAACCCCTCAGTTAGAGAACCTTATCAGTCTTGTTTCAGAGTGATAAGGTTAGAGAACCTTATCAGTCTTGTTTCAGAGCAGTGAGACAGTCATCCACAATCATAAACCAGAAAATCCTCTTGAAGGGAGCAGCCCAAAGGTGGTGAAGAAAACACTCAAGCATAAAAAAAAAAAAAAAAAAAAAAAAAAAAAAAAAAGAGAGGCTCAGTGTAACGGAATCGGTAACTCCAACTCCAGGCCATCAAGATGAAGAAGAAAGATGAAGCCTCTATTTTTATGTCCTGCTGTATTTCTAGCTAGACTGTGAAATCCCCTCACCCCCCAAACCAACAGAAATAAACTGAGTGCTGCTGTTTGCTTTATTGCATCGCTCTCTTGTTCTCGCAGGTCTAGCAGTGTTTAGGTTAACAGGTGCTCTTAGGTATTAAGAATTATATAGTTGAGACATGCAGAAGGTTTTTAAGATATGCCATAACAGTCTCTGCGTGAAAAAACTCACACTAAGGTGCACACTAAAAAGATTGCATTGTGATAAAAAATACTTTTAATGAAAGATTTAAAATCCACTTAATAACATTATACAAATTAATAATACAAAATATTAAACTTTAGAATTCTGGTGCCACTGACATAACCATCCACCTGTCTGCTTGGATCACACCTAATCTCTTTTATCCGTCCCAAATTCACTACTAACCCCAATCCTCCACATTGTTTTACTTTAGCATATAGAAACTTCACCTCCTTTAGCCAGCCGCTGTAAGAATTACACACTTGGTTAAACTTATTTCTCTTCTGAAGCTTCCATTTTCTGTCAGGATTATTCAGAATTCTGCAGCTCGGATGTTTAAAATTATTACCTTGCCTCATTCAATCCAAACCTTTAAGTTTTAAGGCGCACAGAGCACACCATCATTTTGTTATCTGGTGACTTCTCCTCTGCCTTCCCCCTGCAAGTGAGGTTTGGATTCTGCAAGACATGCGTTTGGATCATATGTCGGGGTTCTGTTTCTGAGGAATTCATCCCTCCGCTTTATTCTAAAGTACTTTTAACATTACTCTCTCACTCACACAACCCCTCAGGAGAGGTACAAAGTTTTCAGCCTGAGAGAACCCTTTTTTCTATAGGATGGCATCCAGACAGGCCACACTGCCAAAAGGCATTGCAACCTCATTCGGGCCGGCTTAGAAATAATAAGGTAGCTCAAAATTTAAATTTTCTCTACCAAGCATCAGCAGAATAGCAGATAGTGTTACTGTGTAAAATTACTATGACCCTCTCAGCCCAGATTTGGATGGGCAATTTCAGACATTCACCACTTTGTTATTATCAAGAAGATCTGGCTATACGTTTGTGCCATAGCAGTAAGAAGTTTCCTCCCCCTCACAGAGCAGCCATTCAACTCTGTGCTCACACAAAGTGAATGAGGGAACACAGCAAGCTGCCCACCAGCTTCCTCCCTTCACTCAGAACAAAATCCAAAACATTCTCACCAAAAATTAATAAAATGGGGTTGTTTACACCAGTGCTTCGCTTACATACTTAAAACAGTATGCTCCACCACAGACCAGTACGCAAAGCCTCTAACACATGCCTTGAGCTAAAATTCTTCACAGCTTGGGCTTGCCCCATCATATCACTTTGGGAAATAAATCTGTGTGGCAGTCATGTCACACCACATGACAAAGTTTCCAATGAGGGGCTTTTTATCTCACTAGTTCAGTGTGTCAAAACTAATGAGTATTTGTCATTCTCCTGCCACTAGGTGTCACTCTCTTCTATCGCGACCTTTATACCACCATCCGCCGTCCAAAATTTCACCCAGCAAGCGTCAGACCAATACTATTAGTGGGAGAACATCCACCAAAATTTGCCAATCCCCTCCTATCTAAAAAGCAATCCTATTCCTTAGGTCAGGGAAACACTTAGTGATGTGGCAGATAAAGCACAAAGGATTGTTAGTGTCCCTTTATACGTTCTTCAAAGTAAAATAAAAATACTAAAAGAACAACTGAACTCCTAAAGGGGGTGATACGGGCCTTCCTCCACAGGGGAGTCATCTCAGTTTCTAAAACCCTCTATAAGGAAGAGAATTTCCAAAATAACCGGTGGAACTAATTGCACGACCACTCATGTGGGACCTACAAGGAAAATAACTTTACCAATCAACCAGCAGCTTTTCCAGGACGAAAGAGTCAAACGTTCCATTGTTGCCTCTTGTATTTAATTGATGTCAAGTCCAGAAGGGACTGATTACCTGACTGGACAGCCAGTATAACGAATGCCTCCATGCCTATGTGCTTGTTTGTGGTTGATATGAACTCATCCCATACTGAGGGCAACCTGGAAACTACAACTCACTTTGACAGTGAACACTCAATTGATTATCTTCCTCAAGTGCACTTAAAACAAACAAACAAAAAAACACAACAAAAACATCCAAACCCCAGCCATGACTACATTCTACCACTGACCAATTCAGCCATTTGGAATGACTTAATCGCACACAGAACTAGGTACCTGTGCATACCTAACTTGGGTCATAACTGATCTTCATGAACAACAGAATTTCCAGTGTCAGCATCTCCGACACACGTGAAATAGGATTCAAGCTAAACTTGATTCAAGCTGAGCTTAATAGACAACTGTTAAGCCATTTTGAAGCATTAGGACAAAGGATACCGTTAGGGAGCATGTGTCTACTAAATCATGAAATACTGTCCAAATGACAAAACTGTTGGTGTAATTGATAACTAAGAGGTTGAAGATCTTACACATATGCACATATGAATCACAAATAATGCTTTTAAATACTTCTGGTGCTTACAGAATAATACCAGCAAAGAATCACTGTGTTAACGAGCTTCTTGCAAAAGCTTCTAGTTCATGGGCAAAGAACTACTTTGCATTGTATTCTTCCGCTACCCCATTAGTAAACAGCTGTTTCGGTATTATATCCTCTTCTTTTGATGTGTTTCACCATTTAATTTCCCATTTTCCGTTGCTTTATTTTCAAAATTCCAGTCAGTTGGGCTGAGGAGTTGCAGAGTTTTTTTGTATGTCCAGTATGGGTTAAGTATTAGTGTAACAGCAAATAATCCCGAGAATAAAACAATAAAATGAAGAAGTCCCAGATTTTCCATCACAGAATTCCAATTGAAAATACACACCCACCACATGTGGTAAGTAAGAATCATGCGGCAGTGAAACAGGTGGATCATCACCCACTGATTTGCCTTCCAGAAAAAGGTATTAGCACAGCCAGCCTAGAAAAACAAGAACAGAAAGTATGCAGAAGTGAGATTGTTACTTCAAGATAAGGCACTGAGGAATCTGTAGAACTAATGCAAATACTCAGCTTTCACACACACACACACTCTCAGCCATTTTTTCCACGTAGAACGATGATATTCCACGCGCACACAGCAAACAAACTCAGCATGAATCTATACCATCTCACAGCATCACACAGAAATCTATGTGGAGGACTACAGAAATACCCTCCCGACAAAAGCAGGCATCGCAATAACGTGGATCACAGTTAGATGAACGCAGTTTTGCCGAAAAGCTACCTAGACAAACCATACAGATTACCAATGGATAAGCGAAATGCATGGAAACTGCTACCAACATCATTTGAAAATTACCATGTTCTTACCTTTAGAAGCATCCAGGAAATGCACGTTGAGGGAGTACTCATCTCCAGCAACATTCCCATCAAAGGCAGATAATGTCCAGATTTCACATTGATTACTAGACCAGCCAAGCCACCAAAAGCAAGCAAGTGATGGACTACCAAGAACACATCAAATGTTCTAAAAATAATGTTGGACATGTGAACGGCTACATTTTCAAGCAAGAAAAATCCAGCAGCTATTAAACAGTTAAACCAACTCCACTTTTGCTGTGAATACACTTTGTCAGCATGAAAAACAGGATCTATGAGCAAAGCCCATAATCCAGCAACACAGCTCTGAAGTCCAAACACACCACGTGTGACCGCCATATTCCAAAACACCTTCTCCTTTGCATACAAGGCACGATAAGTGGTACTTTTCCATGAAGACAACCAGTGAGACAGAAGAAATACTCCCAGGTAGATTAAAAAACCAGCAGCTAAAAACGTCAAACGAACTTCCCATAAAAGATAGTCCCAGTCAAAAATGGTCCCAAACACCGGATCATCATTTGTAGGATTCATGTCTTCTTTTTTACAGAGCAAAGCCTTGCAAAGGGGCTTGACACTTCTCACGTGCACTACAGTCTCCTTTATGCCTACTCAGCCTCTGCTATTATGCAAACCAGAAACCATGAACTCTTCTTTTCCATCTGGAACAAAGGAAAAAAAAAAAAAAAAAGTGAATTAATGTCATCCATGTACATCTCATACAGAGAACTCACTTCCACTGTAGTTATGACTGTGGTCCTGTTGCCATTAGGCACTGCTATCCCGAAGGCAGGTACACAGACGTGTTTAAAATTAACAATTGGCCTGCAAAATCTGTACTAGTACTAAGTAATGCACAGAAATGAAAGCTGAAGAGGGCAAAGGAGGAAGGTGAGAAAGAGGAAGAGAAAATACAAGCAGCAACCTCTGTTTTCTTACTTATGAAACTTGTGTTTCAGCAGCAGTGTGTGGTTATTCTCCTAATCCATTATTCTACTCGCCTGCTTTTCCCTCGCTGATTTTTTACCACATGCTACAGCTTTGGGTGCAATTCAGAATCTCAAATACGGATCTGGGACATAAAACTACGAAAACTTAATCCAGTAAGCAGGACCACTTATGATCCTGAGAGCCCGTTTCTGTGTATCTCAAAACAAGACTTGCAATCAGTTTCTGAACACTAAGTCACTTTCCAACAGAAAACATATTCCAAAAATGCAAGAAGAGTATGGAATGCAGACAAGCAACATCAATATGTATTATTAACAACATTAGTGTAATTAACTGAACAGCCCAGCAGTAAGTGCCTCAAGTTAACTGAAACTTCCTGAACACACTGGAGTTCAAAAACACAAGATTTGTGGGGAGGGAAGAGCCAAATAATACTGAAATATTTGAATGCCAGCTGATTTGATGAACGATGTATGTGACATCAACATGACTGCTGGGCCCACTGCAGCCTGCAAATGCTGAGAAGCACAATACATTTGGAAGCTGGGTGGGAGCGAGATGAAAAAAACACCACAACCACTGAATACACAGCCACTGCTGAGATGACAGAATGGCCTGAGTTGGAAGGGGCCTTAAAGATCATCGAGTTCCAACCCCCCTGCCATGGGCAGGGACACCTCCCACTAGAGCAGGTTGCTCAAAGCCCCATCCAGCCTGGCCTTGGACACTTCCAGGGATGGGGCATCTACAACCTCTCCGCTCGAGCCTTGCTTCACCGTGCCACAAATGCCACCACGGCAACCCAGATCCCGTAGGGACCTGCTCACCCTGGCCTCTGCTCTCGCAGATGCCCCCTCTCCCGCTCCAGGCCGGGGTCCCAGTAGGAGCCTGCTAGCCCCGGTCCCGTGGCCCCACGCCTGACAGGACCGACAGGAAGGCGAACTCACGGCAGCCCCACTCCCTCGTCCCCCATCATTTCCCGGGGAAAACACATTAATCCGACAGCACGGACAGGCCCTGAACAGCGCAACCCGCCGCGGCTCCAGCAGGGCCGTGACAGCTCCTCCGGCCCCACACACACACCGGCAGCAACACTCCCCCCCACGCCCCGGCCCGGCCCCGCGGCCGCCGAGCCCCTCACGGGCCGCCCCGAGCCCTCGGTCACTCCCGTCGCTCCTCACCCACAGCGCTCCCCGCGATGGCGGACCGGCCCTTCCCGTCTCCCGGGAACCGCCCCGTGCTCGGCAGCCCGCCTTCACCGGCCTCCCGGGAGCGCCCGCTCCGACCCGACCCGGGAGGCCTGACCCGCCGCCGTTCCCACAACAACCGCCCTCAGCCGGGCGGCCGCCATACGCCTCTCCCCCCACCCTCTGCGCATGCGCCGCCGGCACCAACCACCGGGCGCCGCGGGGGGGGTGGGCGGGAGGCCGCGGACTGTACCACTTGGGCGGCGCGGCGGGGGGCGCATGCGCGGCCGTACCCCCCGGGCCCGCGGAGCCGCCTCAGGCAGGGCGGGAGGCGCTGGGGTGTGTGTAAAGTGTTTTTCTTCACCGAACAGCCGGCCCGTCACCACCACTGAAAAATTAGTAATATTTAACAGATGCCTGATCAACGATATTAAAAAAAAAAAAAGAAGTAGCAGCCATGCCGTAGCCAACACCTTTGCCGTAATTACGCAGTTTCATTAAAAGGCAGCAAATCATTAAGTGGGTGTCACGGGAGCTCTGCTGCGTGATTTTCTCCATACTTGTGAAAATCGGTGCTGTCATCCCGGTGATTCAGCCCGGCTGAATCCTGCGGGCATCACCGGGGCAGGTCTGCCAAAACCACCCCACAGCCCCACGCCCGGGACTTCCTCACAGAAAGGGTTCCTCACCAAAAGGGTCATCAAACGCTGACCCAAGCTGCCCAGGGAAGCAGAAGTATTTAAAAGACTTAAAAGACGGGTAGATATGCTGAGGGACATGGTTTCGTGGTGGTTTTGGCGGAGTTAGGTTGATGGTTGGATGCAATGATCTTAAAGGCCACTTCCAACCTGGACAATTCCATGGTTGTGTGATCTAGTGTGGCTTCGGCACTCCTGACTGGCAGGAACTGCAAGTTTCACCAGGGAAAAGCCCAGTCCCACAACAGACCAGGCAATTCCACCGAAGAGCAACTAAAAAATAAAAATCAAGCCACAACTTCTCTTACACTGGCCTAGAATAGCTGAAATCCTAAACTGGGTCTACTTGTGGTGAGAGACCCAAGCTGGGAGATCAGTCCTGGAAGCCTGAGGGTTTCCAGCTGGGGAGAGGGAAGTGTCACCATTCCCTGTGGGGGGCTGGGTCCTGCCACAGCAGCAGGATAGCTGGGCGGGAGGGGGTTTGTGCGCTTGCTTTTAATTGCTAATGTGATAAACCTGTCCCTGATGGACGCCCTGAGCTCTGTGAAAAGCAAGATCTGTTGATATGCCACCTCAGCGGTTTAGATAGGGGCAGCCAGCCCCGTATCCCTTTTCCATAAGCCAGCTGCTTATGGAAAAACCTCTGGGAACAAAGCATGTCTCCTTTTAACGTGCTGGGTGTGAGGCATTACACCTTCCCTCCGAGGTCCTCTACAGACAGCCCCAAGGGACACCAGGGTTTGGCTGGTGCCATGGCCACACACCCAGACACTGCCTGTCTGTCACCGGGGTGAGTCACCTGCCACTTCCCACCAGCAACCCCATCTCTGCCCAGGAGGCCCAGCTCAGCAGCAAATGCAGGGCAAGAAACCTCAGCCAAAATGCTTATTTCATGCAGGGAAGAACACTTGTGATCAAGTGACAGACATCCTGATGACACAGGCTGGCAAGTTGGTCTTGTCGACAGAAGGATTCATCGTTGCAGAAAAGTATATTTGTTCCAAGGCTTTGGGATACAGTCAGAGCCGTTTGATAACCCTGAAGGGGAAAAGGGGCTGTAGGGCCTGAGAGATGCTAAGTAGAAGATTTGGAGGAACTGTCACTAGAGAAGTACTTCCTAGCTGGTGGTCAATATTCATTTAATAACCTCTGTTCTCTAACAGATGCTGGACCTCTCCAGGGTAACATGAAAAGGATGAGAAGGCTGAACAAGCAAAAACTGGGCAAGCTGTTGTCGGAAGGAGTTGCTGTCCCAAGTAACATGACGGGACTGATGCACTAAGGGCATGTGTTCTAGCTTCCTCTAATTTTATTTTTCCCATAGCTGTCTTTAAAGAATTCCTTTGAATTGTAGCACCTTGAGGCAGGAGATTTTTTTACTTACGTATAAGGAACTGTGATCACACTGTGAAAAACAAGATCACAGACAGGCTGCTGTCTTTCTTGGGGATTTTCCTTGTCTTCGCTACCTGCCTTGCTATCTCAGTCGTAATCTCATTTTTTAATTACTACCAGCTATACCCATGGTGTAATAGTTTAGTGTAACTTTCTGAAACTACTGATACTACAACCGTACTTAATGACAACTTTTTAATAGGTGCCTCATTATGGTAATTATGATCACTTCAGGTATTTCAAAATAGTTCTTCCTGCAGTGAGGCTCATCTTCCATACTGTGTCACATTCAGTTCTCTTTTTTACACCCATTCTGTCTGGATGCTACAGTAGGCCCTGTCCAAAGCTAAATTTCCTGACTGTTGGCACCATCTCAATTTGGAAGACTTTCTTGGCATCTTCAGAACGTGGCTGGAAGAGCAAAGAGCACCTCCAGGCAGGGAGCCCTGCCTGCAGTCTGGATGATCCACTCCTTAAAGCTAAAAGGCCATTTATACTGGTTTGGTGATGCTTGCCTGCAGTCAAGAATGGAACAGGATTTTTTGCACTTCGCAATAGCTGTGTTTTGTTGCCTCAATGGCTACATCTATACAGCCCCTCATGGGGGGGCTGCCTTTTACTTTGAAAAGCGGTGGCTACATCCCAGCTGCCCTTTGAATATTTTTTGGTGCACACCTATCTCCCAAAATATCCATAGAAATGTTGGCTACAGAAGGTCGCTTTGACCAGACTCCTGCTTCAAATGGGACCAATGCCCACTATCGAGGAACCATCTAGAAAGTCCTAGTTGGCACAAGTCAAACTTTTTTCAGGTAGCATACTAATAATTAAATATTGCCTGCAGTAATCAATCAGTGTCTCCTCTGTTGTATTCTCAAAGCTGATGATAGTTAAAAACATCTTTAGTTCTATAATTTTTTTTTTTCTTCATTCCCCAAGTTGGAGTGCCGTGATCCCAAGTCCTTCTCCTGCTCCCTGTACTTTCAGAAGTGGACAAGTACCCTCTCGGTGGTGTGAGAGCACCTCAAGGCAGGGGCTTAGGAGATATGCATGGAGGACACAAGGCCAACCACTGAGACCTTCAGAGAGAGGGGAGGCTGCAGTTTGTGCAGGGGCTGCAGGGTGACTGTCACAGGACACGTATGAGAGCTTGTGTGTGTGCGTGTGGTGAATAGAATATAAGCAACTGGTGCTTCTATTGCCATTGGCAGTAAGTTGGGAAATGTGTTTTAGGGGTGGGTTGAGAAAGGAGTTTCAGTCTCATTATCAAATTAAGCCATCCATTGCAAACAGCTGTTTGTCCCGTAAAGATTTGCCTTGGACCCGTGGGGGCAGAAGAATCCAGAATAAGCCACCCTGAATTCTGCCTTCTTCTATGGCAAAAGAGGGGAGTTTTCTGACTGCAGGAGAGATGGTGAAGTGGCCAGAAATTATCTGTGGCAGCAGCAAAGGGATGGAGATTGGAAAGAATTCTGCCTGATGAGGCTGTTGTCTGATCATTTTATAGGTCTCTCTCATCCTCTGAATGAACAAAAGTTACTGCCTTAGGTTATTTTCATTCTTTTTTTTGATTCCAAAATATCAAAAACTTGTAGTCAGTGATACTGTATGTTGAACTAAGTTCTATGAGTATAAATAAAACCTGAGCTGGTCATCTTCCCAGTAGAGGATGAAAGGTTTACTGCTACTTTAAAAGTCGTTGATTTCTCAAAAGGTTTTAGCCCTCTCTCCCCAAAGTTTTAGAAAAACTTGCATATTTACAGACACAGATCCATGCATATATACAAAACTTGTGCTGACCCATCACATAATCATATATTTTCAGTGGCATGCTCCTTGAATTCTTTTTTTTTTTAAAACTGAAATTTGCTCCTTTGCCACCTACTAATCTGCAGTCGGCATTCAAATCTGTGGGAGCCTTACTACTAATTGTGGGAGCTCTGCTTCAGGTCTGTGGGAGGTTTACTACATGTCCGCCTCAAGGAACTCCGAGGCAATACCAAATGTGTAATCTCGCTTTGGTAATGTTTTACACACACTCTCAAAAGTTTTCCTGATTCTTGTCCAACAGGTACTTATGCAGTATCCCTACATGCAAACTACAGTTATTCCAAGGAGCACTTTGAACATGCTTGTTTAAGGCATTTTCCTCTCAGCTAATAGGAAGCATACTTGACTTCTTTCAGAAAACCTGTATTACAAGGCTTTCATGTGTGCCAAGGATTCAGAAAGTCTTTAGATTGCATAACATATTCATCTCCCCAGGCTGGTGTGCTTTCCTCAGGACTTGGAGATCACCACTAGTTTCTACAAACTCAATTTCTATTTCACTTATGGTCAGTTTTAAATGAGTTAATCAACTCCTTATGCTCCAGAATAGACGGTGATAATAGTTGCACTTGATGTTCTCAAAATTTTGAAAAACTCAGATTTGCTGAGCATCCAGACTTTAAGCAACCAGTTGTGAGAAATAGTGTCGTATATCCCAGACTCACTAAATAAGCTCTCCTGGGTGTAGACACAGTTCAGGATGTTTGTCATACCCATGCTGACCCTGTGACGTCTGGCCGTTCCCTGTACACTGCTTAATTGGACCTCACCAAGTACAGCCTTTGGGCAATTATTCCTTCAGTATTTCCTCCCTTCTCATTCTTTTACTACTATTGAAGGGAAGATATCCTACCCCTTTTTTCTTCTAATCCTAATTTATTTCTATTTTGTTACAAGACACTCTCAAGGTCCCTCCTTGGTCCAACCATTTCTCTCAAGAATTTCTCTAAATCTCAACTTCTCTTTCCCACCAGCCCTGCAGTTAATCTGTAATGCGTAAGATGTTGCTGCTTCACCTCTTCTTTATCTTCTTAAGTTCACACCTCCCTGTAAAGCCTTCTTACTCTCTTTCCATTTCGCAAGCTTCTCTTTATCTTCCATAATACATACTGCCTAAATGTATATAATCACATACTTTTTTCTCTCTCTCTTCTCCATAACCCTATTAATAGAGCCCTGGCCAGCCAATGCCTCTTTATGCTCCTCTCTGAGATTTTCACCTCCTAGTGCCCAGCATCACTGGTGATA